ATATATATATATATATATATATATATATATATATATATATATATATATATATATATATATATATATATATATATATATATATATATTTCTTTTCTTTTCTTTTTTTCTTTTTTTTAACAGCCATTCATTCCACTGCAAGACATAGGCCTCTCTCAATTCACCATTGAGAGGTTATATGGCAGTGTCACCCTTGCCTGATTGGATGCCCTTCCTAATCAACTGCGGTTCGGCGCGTTAACACTTGTACCACAGTGACTTCCCCTACGACACCTGCATTTGACTTCTCAAGGCGATATGTTGTTTTCTCGGGCTCGAACCAGCAGCCAGATCGCAGGCATTTTTACGACTGCCGCGACGGGAATTGAACTCGGGACGACGAGTCCAGTGCTTTAACCACTGAACCATCGCGGCAGACTTGTATATATACATACATATATATATATATATATATATATATATATATATATATATATATATATATATATATATGTATGTATGTATATATATACACACACACACTGTATATGTTTTGATATATATGTATATATGCATATATGTGTATATGTGATTGTGTGTATATATATATGTGTGTGTGTGTGTGTGTTTGTTTGTGTGTGTGTGTGTGTGTGTAAATATATATATATATATATATATATATATATATATATATATATATATATATATATATATGTATATATGTATATATGTATATATATGTATATATACATATGTGTGAGTGTGTGTGTATATATATGTATATATATATGTGTATGTATGTGTATGTGTGTGTATATATATATATATATATATATATATATATATATATATATATATATATATATATATATATATATATATATATATATACATATATATATATATATATATATATATATATATATATATATATATATATATATATATATACATAATGATTGAAGTAATCTGATGGGTAATATAAGGCACTCTGTTGTCTCCACACTCTGGAAGTAGAGCGATAAAGCCCTCCACATATTACAGGTGTTACATAACGCTGGCGCAGGCGCTGAGCATGAGCATGGGGGCGTGTCCCACCGGGCCAGCGGGCACTGGCAAAACAGAGACTACTAAGGACATGGGGAAGACGCTTGGCAAGTATGTCGTCGTCTTCAACTGCTCAGACCAGATGGATTATCGCGGTTTAGGCAGAATCTATAAAGGTGAGCTTTAAGCTTCTCGTGGTATACGCCTGTGCATCCGGCGTCACAGCCGCTCTGGAAATGAGAGGTAAGCCCGCGGCAGGCCCAACTGAGAGCTCACTCACTCACTCCTCCCCCAGGGCTTGCCCAATCCGGGTCGTGGGGCTGCTTCGACGAGTTCAACCGCATCGAGCTCCCGGTGCTGTCGGTGGCGGCGCAGCAGATCGCCGTGGTCCACACGTGCAAGAAGGAGCGCCGCAAGACCTTCACCTTCACGGACGGTGACATCATCACCATGAATCCCGAGTTCGGAATCTTCCTGACCATGGTGAGTCGCCGAGCACTCTGCGCTGCTTGGCCTTTGCCGCTCTCTTTATGTAGAAATGGCTTTTTCTTTTCTTTGTGCGGGTATTGAAGTGGGAATGTCTCTGTAAAAACTTAAAAGCCCGTAGGTGATTTTCGCTGTACAGTTCTTTATAACATATTACATTATCTTCATATGTTGACAATTAAAGATTATATTTTCAAAGTGACCTTGGAAATATTACCCGAGTCTTACGTAGACAATTCTGATGTCTGTAGATCTCATTTCTTTATCGGCCTTGAAAAACTGTTTCGATTCATGCATTTGTAATAGTTCTTTACTTGCTCACTATTCACATCCCCCACCCCCACCAATAAGAAAACAAGGTTAATTTCACAAAATAAAACAATTCAGATGAATACAACATATACCGATACACTTTATCGAATTCAGTAATAATGACACATTCTGATAACCTACGACTAAAATATTTCAAAGATATGTTCATATTAAACACATTCTCATTTTAGCACTTAAAAAATAATCCATTGTAGATACCCACAACTACTTAAAGAATGATAAATTTTTACTTTCTAATTTGGTTACAAGTATGCTCCAATGTTAAATAGAGTTGACTGATAACTTGGTGATCTAAAGCATCTCGCAAGCCCGATGCACTCTCAAATCTAAATATCTGTACGATCAGCAAAAAATAGACAACGCCGGCTAAGCGAAGGTGGAGTAATAATCACTCTGGCGGTGATCTCATGAGGCCAGGAGCACATGCGAACCGACTTCGCTGGATGACTGACCTCAGGGAGTCAGTGTTTGAGGCACTGCAGTGACCACGATGCCTCAAACCGTGGGCCAGTTGTGCTGATTCTGATCCCGCTGGCTTACTGTCAGGGAATTCAGAATTCATAACAAAAGAAAATTTTACTAAAAAAGTGAGCAAAGATAGCTCACTCGGCTGTCCACTCAATTATTTTAATCAGCTTGAATCATTAAATTAATCTTCCATGGTGCGACTCCTTGAATTTTGTTTAGCTCCACTCGCTTATCCGATTTTTAGTAAACATCACTTCAAAATGCCAGTTAAATCAACGTTGTAATGGAAGCATCACTTGGCTTTCATCGATAATGATAAAGCAAGTAGCTGATGAATAGTAAATACTGACATACATTGGCTGTTAATTCACCTCTTTATTAATTTCTTGGTTTTTAAAATTAGTGATGGCTAAATAAATAAATAATTAAGAAATGAGAAAGTAAATAAATCTAAAAAACATTATGACCCTTTGCTGATTGTACAGAACTTCGCCTTGGAATGCTTGCCTCGGAATAAATGATTCGACAGTTTTGAGTTTAATGCCTTTGATGCTTATTGTGCCTTAGTTGTTGAGAATAGCAGTTTCACTGAGCTCTTTAACCTTCATATACACACTACAGGTACTGTTAATCTAAACTATGCACATATTTGATGCTGCAAATTACCAGTTTCTAAGAATGATAGCCAAGTCCTATACAAGACGAAACTTCATTAAATTGCTGTCTCACAATCGGCAAGTTCTTTTACAGGTCATTCGTCAGTTATGTATTGATAGTAATTCTGTATCCTTCAATGTGTCTGGCAGAACATAAACACAAGGAGCAAATACCAGGTAACTACTTCACTCATGCCATCATTGCCAAAAGTGGTGAGGTCTCGTTTGATCCATTCCCGTCCTACTCTCCTTTCTTCCTCCCTGCTTAACCCTCAGTATTTTTCTTTCTTTCTAATACCCTCTTCGTTTCGTCTGCCCTTCGTTATCCTCCTTTTTGTGGTTCTCCATCTTTGCATTTCTTCCCGTTCCCCTTTTTGTTTTACTTCCCCCCTTTTCCATCGGCTTCCCGCAGACTTCTTTTACAATCTGTCCTATTCCTTTTACTTTCAACACTTTCTCTGTAAGTGAAATCATCCCTATTATACACAGAATCATATGGTCATTTCATCCGTAGTTGCGCACCCATTATATATGTCACTATGAACTCATTCATACAAACTCTTATATACACTGTCCACTTTACCGTGCAATACGTTCTTACTTACACTGTCTACTCCGGTCCTACACTGTTCACTCAGACTTGTGCTGATCGCTCTAACACTAATCCCTCCAATACTGCTCACTCTAACTTTACCTTTTTCGTTCTAATTGAAGCTGTTTGTTCCGCTCTACCTCCAGTAGCCCTGTATTTTTGTAATTTCTGCCTTTAGTCGAAGTAACACAGTTCTTTGCTTGCCACTAGTGCCATGCAATGTAAGCCTACTTTATTTATCATCAACGAGGTTTCAAGCTCACGTTAATATTTTGGTCTTTACGAGAAATTTATATATTCCTTTACAAATGTAATTTCATGATTCTGTAACATTTGAATTCGTTATTCGTTCAGTTTACATTGTTCCTCATATAAAAATAGGAACAGCTGAAAAGTATATCAAATACTTCTTTTACTATATGTACACCTTCAAAAGCGATAGTTTATAACCAGTTTTAGCGACAATTTTGCTTGTTTGTCAACAGAATTATAAACTATAATATTGCGAGGTCAGGCTTCTGGCTCTTACATGAAAGAAGAAATATATGTTATGGCAATTGCAACTTGTAGTATATTGTGACTTTCTTTGAGAGAACACACAAAGCTGATAAAGTCTGTGAAGACAGCCACTGCATGTGACTTGACTGTCATCGTGCCCTCTTAAACTTCTCTCTCTCACCTGGCAGGTGGCCAAAGACGGCAATAAACAGGTAAAGTGCCTGGCTTCATTAACATGTTGCAATGCCACTAATCTCCTATGGTCTTACCTATCTCTATCTCTTTCACAGAAACCGTTGCTTGGCCGAAAACACTTATCATTAATCTGAGCAGCCTGTACACTGATATTAGTATGTGAATGTTATGGATGTGTATGTGCGTTGGTGTGGATGTGGGTGTACAGCTTAAAGCATCGAACCACAACACATTTTCTGAACTGCGCCACACAAGTGAATGAACTACCTCAGCACAACAGATATGAAACACTACAACACAATAGTACAGAGTTGCGCCACTCCACAATTACACATCACTTTTGCAGCTATACTGAACCATACAGTACTCTTGCATCATGTTCTCACTTCTACACTAACATTGCCAAAATTGGATCTGAAGTTCCGGGTCTGAAATTTTCATATATAAGGATAATGTGCTTGTTTGACCTCCGCCAGCTCAGTGTGAACAACAGTTCCTGATGATCACATTTGCATGTCACCGAAAAGTTGGCAAGGAAAGTTTTTTTGATGATGAAAAATAAGAAAAAAAATTAAATCGGTCGAGATTCGATCGGCACTGAAAAAGAGCGCAGCTTTTTTATAGACTTCAAAAACATCCTGCACTGAAATATACCGTCATGATTTATAAAGAAATCCATTTCCTCACTTTCACTCCATGTCACGCATGCGTCATTCACTCCCGGCTAATTTCATGTCCTCGCTTTTTGGTATGAGCAGACCCTTGGTCGTTCTGCTTACTGGCAATTTTTAGGGTCCAAAAGGTGCTTTTTACCTGATGTATATTTTCATTCCCCTGGACTGTACATACACACTGTCATTCGAGTGATTTTTCGCGATGGATTTTTTTCTGCGTAGAGAACTCTTTCATTACAGGATGTTATTTTTCTAGAGGGTCCCGTGAGGCATGCATACCGGCGACCCTCTGCGTAGGGGCTGCTGCATGCTGGCGCCTCTCACTTAACCTTCCTTGTTTTTCTGTGTGTATATACTTACCCTCCCCATCACTCCTCCATATCTTGCCCGCGTCACGCTGCTGCTTCCACACTGCGTGCCTCTAGAATCTGGGGTACCACGGCCGCCAAGAACTGCCTGAGAATCTGAAGATCCAGTTCCGAAACGTGGCGATGATGGTGCCAGATCGTCAAATCATCATTAGGGTCAAGTTGGCGTCTTGTGGTTTCCTGGAGAACATCACTCTGGCGCGCAAGTTCTTCACTCTCTACAAGCTCTGCGAGGAGCAGCTTACTAAACAGGTGATGCTTATTTTTTATTGAAGTGTCGAAGGGATAAACTTCCATATGAAGCTATCTTATTTTAGGCATTCAATATTCTCTCCATGGACATAATCTATCCTGGTTTCAAGACCAAGTGTGTCCTATTAATTTCCCCCATGTAGTTGTATTGACAGCAAACATATTTTTTTCCAGAAATTCTAGAATGCATTCACAGTCATTCCCATATCTTGTTCCTCACTTTATTTTCTTCTTTGACTATTACGGCTGTAATATAGTTATCACCGTCTCCTGTGTGTAGGTCCACTACGACTTCGGTCTTCGCAACATTCTGTCTGTGCTGCGAACCCTGGGCGCCGCGAAGAGGGCCAACGCCAAGGACTCGGAGTCGACCATCGTTATGCGGGTCCTCAGGGACATGAATCTCTCGAAGCTAGTCGGTGAGTGCAAGCTGCGCTATGGTTCACCAACAAAACTCTAATAGTGTTCTCTTTGGTATGGTAATGATGGTGCGAATATATTGGCTTATACTGGCTCGTTGCGAGATAATGGCTTTCTGTATTCGCATTGTGTTTTCTTGTCTTGATCCCCATTGAATGGCATCAGACAGAACTCATATGAACAGATGCGGTTGTCTGATTCACTCTAAAATACACGAACACTAGTCATAAAATCCAATCATATAAGTAACCATATTGTTTTCTTTCGGCAGACGAGGACGAGCCGCTCTTCATGTCCCTCATCGACGACCTGTTCCCCAACATGGCCCAAGAAAAAGGCTACAACAACCACCTCACCAATAACATCGCTGAGATCGTGGGCGAACTCGGACTTATCCAACATGCACCCTGGCAGTTGAAGCTCATTCAGGTAGGTCCAGGTTGCTTATTGCTTTTAACGGTCTTGGACAAAACAAGGAAGAAGCATTGATGAGCGACGTAAGTCTACTTTTATGTACATTTGGTCAATGATTCTGTAAAAGTACTCTACTGTGCATGATTCATTGGATATCAATTTCTTCATAACCTAAACTTTCTGTAAAGTTAATTATAATGTACTTATATAAGACTGCATTAACGACGAGACAAAGTAAAGAAGCAGTAAAAGTCATCCTTGACAATTCCTCGCAGCTGTTCGAGACCCAGCGTGTCAGGCACGGCATGATGACGCTCGGGCCCAGTGGAGCCGGGAAGACGACGTGCATCCAGGTCCTCATGAAGGCCCTCACAAAGATGGGGCAGCCTCACAGGTGGGGGTCGGCAGTGCTTAATAGCAGTTTAGTGCCCGAAAATAAATACAAGGATGGTAATACATTGTTAACACAAAATAGTTACATCTGTTATAACATGTATAAAACATTTTTGCCAACTCAAATACTGTCACTGATTTTAGATGATCGCCATTTTTGCCGTCATCCTGACCAGGTATTTACTTGTACTTAGCTTTACTAGTGTTTAGGCAGCGCCATCTGTGTGCCAATGGCCTCGTGGTTCCACAGGGAGATGCGCATGAACCCGAAGGCCATCACGTCCGCGCAGATGTTCGGGCGGTTGGACGTGGCCACCAACGACTGGACGGACGGCATCTTCTCCACGCTCTGGAGGAAGACGCTCAAAGCGAAGAAAGGTGACATTCACTAACTCTTATATTCACTAATATTTAAATTCTGGCTGAAGAGAATTCGATCTCGTGTTACTGAAAAAAATATGAAGAAGGAACTGATTTTTTCCTCGTTAAGTGAACTTCCTCAGCCAGTAGTAAGAATCAAAAATGATGACAGAAAATGAGTGCACTTGGCTTGATTCATGTGTCGATTACTATTTTCTTGTTCTTTTTCTTTTTCTCTTTCTAAATGATTAGATATTGTTTTGAAAATTGACGTAAGTTTTCAGCAGTTTATCACAGGCACTTTATATACATTGACGGTAGCTTTATCATTTAAAAAAATATTATTATAGATTGATATAACTCTTCATCTTCATTAACCATTCTTGCTAATGATCTGGCTAATATATTACTCTGTGACATGATGACTTCAGGCGAGCATATCTGGCTAGTACTAGATGGCCCCGTCGACGCCATCTGGATTGAGAATCTCAACTCTGTGCTGGACGATAACCGGACGCTGACGCTGGCCAACGGAGACCGAATCCCGATGTCGCCCTGCTGCAAAGTCATTTTTGAGCCGGCCAACATTGACAACGCTTCTCCCGCGACGGTGTCCAGGAACGGGATGGTGTGTGGCCAAGCAACTCTCACCTCCGTGCTGCATCTCATCTGAATTTGTGCATTATGAATGTCACTATTACCCCCTCAAGAAAAAAAAAAAAAAAAAAAAAAAAAAAAAAAAAAAAAAAAACAGCTAGTCCATTGAATCTTTCTTAAGATGTTTTAATTCTTTTAGTTTATGATAATGTTCCTACTTTTTGTCTGAACTAAGAGGATCTTCGGCTGTTTCTCATCCGTGCAGGTGTACATGAGTTCGTCTGGACTGGACTGGCAGCCCCTCCTGCAGGCGTGGTTAAGGACGCGACCCCACTATGAGCAACCAATAATCAGTGACCTCTTCGCAAAGAACTTTTTGTCGCTGTTCACATGGTGCAAGCAAAACCTGCGGCTTTGCATTCCCATCCTGCAGGTTAATGTTATCACACAGGTGTGCATGGCTAACATTTTGTTTTGTTATTTTCAGATGTGGCGATTTATTTCATGATTTCTTGACTTTATTTGAGCATAATGTTGGGTTTGTACAATACAGTTTTGAAGCAAATCCTGAATCAGTCCCCGTTATTGTTTATCGAAAGCGAAAGCTAAAACGGAAGGTTCCGCCTTGAGCGCCCAAGGAGCAGCTGCCAGACCTCGTAGGGCCTCAGGCTATAAGTTCACAAAATGTATTTTGCCTCATTTACAGCAGGGTTTGATCCTCACAAATGGAATGATGCGACGCTTACAATTAATTGCCTTGGATGTACAGCAGATCCCCACCCCACCCATGTCTAAAAGCTTTGCTCAAGCTTAGAATGAAATGGAGAAATCCACAACGTTCCCCCACACAAAGAATCAGTTCTTGGAAGCAAAAGCAATATATGAGTAAAGAATTTGGAATCGCGTGCGGATCTATTTGAAGCAATGCTATTTTCTGACAAGTGATCTCAGATTGAGAGGTACAGACTTAATAAGACGAATGGATTCCTTTGTCTGTGAGCTAAACCAAGTGGTTCCCATGTAAATATAAAATGCCACTGAGGCCTCAACTCACTCTAGCTTTTCTTAGTGACATTTCAGATCCGCAACGTGGTGTGATGCCCACACTTCGTCGCCATTTTGTAAGATTAATGTAAATATTTTGGTATATTTAAAGTGATATTTTGTATAGAATAGTTAACCGAGTTTTTGACTTTTGACAGAATTTTGTGACGTCATTACATGATCTCTAAATGATCGTCAATCCTTACTTGTGTTTTCCATATGCAAGCTGCATGCTGTTACTTCCGCCTTCTGCAATTGTCAGGATACCTGCACTCTGTGTCTTTGGATGCAATGCACCTTGCTTTAGAGATTGTTACTCACTGCACTCCGTATGTCTGAGTTATATATGACCTATATAAATACATGTGCGCATGTATATAGATAGATAGATGTGTGTGTATATGTATAAATAGATAGATAGATAGACACATAGGTAGATAGATAGATAAATATACAAATAGACTAATGGATAGATGTAGAGAGAGAGAGAGAGAGAGAGAGAGAGAGAGAGAGAGAGAGAGAGAGAGAGAGAGAGAGAGAGAGAGAGAGAGAGAGAGCGAGAGAGACCACATAAATATGTAGTCAGTTATCCCCTATTTTTCATAGCAGCGTAATAACATTGACAGATATAAACTTAGGTGAAAATATACTGGTGTTGCACATTCTGCACAGTAGACTGCTGCACATTGTTCACTGCCTCTCAGCTCCTGGCACGGCATTGCGGCACATATATTCCACATCAGACTAAATAATCTGTGAAATTAAAATGTCTTCTTTTTTATAGTTAGTCTGAGCATGTCTGATAGTGAGGAATAGGATGTATCTTTTTCTTAGTGATTGATGAGCAATCTTACTTTAGCTGCATAAAGAAATCAGACATTATGACCATCACTCATGTGCATGAATTTAAGATATGACATACGCATTAGGCCGTGTAATGGTGAAAGTAATAATAAAATCTCAAACGACTTAGAAACACCCGTTGATCTCACAGTGCATTGTGTCCCTAGGAATCGCGAATGGGGATGATTATCCAAGTTATTTTGCGCATAAAACTGATTTTCTGCCCTCTAATTTATTATACGCGTGGTTACAGTGTCTAGCAAGGCAAACTAACAAATTAGAATTGATTTGTTGTACATCCATTCTCGAAGCAGTGTGTCGGTAAAATGTGTAAATACAAGGGCGGCTATGCCATGCTCTCCCTGATATAGTGTTATTTTAGAACTAGTGAGAACTCACTGCTATTGTCATAGGTATCAGTAGGCAAGGAGGTATACAGTATGTAGTGCATGTCTGCTGTAGGAAAGTATGTAACTGCGTCTATCAATTCAGTGTATGTGATAAAATTTACATGCGACAATCATGCCGCAGCTGTGGATGGAAACAGTAAATTATTAATTGCCACAATGTCTAAAGCAGAAAACTGGCAAATCAGACACCACGGCTCCAGCTCAGTGGTGTAAAAAGATCTCGTGTGCAATCTACAGCATTAAGTGGAAGTGTGCTTCATGTCTATGCACTGATCTGCAGTATCCTGTGCTCATGCTGTGACTGTTTGTTGTGGGTGTTAACTATTGGCTGCTCTGTGGTACTTGTTGTTACCTGTAATTGTTGATGCGTAGGTATTTAGTGTTCCTGTCAGTAGATGTTCCTATTGCAGTGTGGTATGAAATATCTTTGCTGGTAAGTTGATAGTCTGTTGAGCTGCCCCGCGGTAGTTAGTGTTGCTGTAATGCTAACGTACTGGCTATGATGTGTGAATTTTTCCTTTACCCCCGCGTAGACAATGTAAGGCTTAGCTTTGTAATGTGTGCACCGTATGTAGAACTCTGTTTTTGGAAGCTGCCGGCCCTTCTTACATCTGTATCACAAGACTAATAGGCGGAAGGACTGTGTGGGCGAGAGGACATCCACACCCTCATTTGTCCCGCAGCGTTTGCCTGCTGTAACTCCGCCTCCAGATATGTGCTCATGTCTTCAGTTAGATAGGTCGTGTTGCCTTTAAAAGTGTTGTTGATGTTATCGCCGCTGCCGCCAGGCCATAACCCTCCTGGAGGGCCAGCTGCCGGAAGGAGAAGACGCAGCTGACGACTGCCTCCCCCGTCGACGTGGCCGTTCTAGCGCATGGGGAGGCGGCGCCCACGGAGGCCATACCCCCGACGAGTCCTCCCACACGCAGACGCCCGTGGAAACGCCCAGATCCTTGCCAGAGGATGAGGCTCTTCCGGTGCTGCCCCTGCCTGATGTCGCCATGTTCTCACTTTCTCTCGCAGCACAACACTCCCACGCCATGTAAACTGTCTGTCCTGCCACGATCCACGTCTTTACTGTCGCTAAAATGCGAAGAATCACTTCATGTCAGACCTAGTTTTTTGTCTTTCAATGTTTATTGTTAGGTTCATTTGAGCAGCTGGTTCTTGGCGGACAGCTTTGGGAATGAATTTTAAACTATTGCTGTAAACAAGTTCCATAAATAGTAAAATAACATCCTGAAACTTAAACATTACAGGTGATGTCGGAAGTATACTAAAATGTACAGCCGGCACCACATACGGTAGTGTACAACTGCTCTACGGTTCACCCTCTCCCATGAGGTACACGTAATAAAAAGTACTTTCCAATGCAAACTTCTGATCAAAAGGCTGAATGCATTGTATAGTGCTATGTCAAACAGTGAAACAAATCATATCTAGTCACAAAATAGGAGACTCAGAGAAGGTCCCACGTTGTCCTTGCACAGCGGCGTGAGCGTGAGCTGAACCTGGTACAGTTAGCATTAAGCAGGTACACGTTGTAACATGTGGCGGTGTCGTCATCTAAACCTTGGCGAAATAAATGCAGACATAATATTGTAGCCTTCATGATTAAACATCACCGCATGGATCACGCAGATGTCAAGTCTTGTGATGACGTATAATCTTAGTAGATAAATAAATATTAGCTAGAAAAATATGCCATGTTGATATCCAACTGATATAGTGACTGATTTACATAACGATGCTACATATTATTTATTTCCATTAAAATAACGATCTGATGTGGAAATCAGTTTTTTTCTGTTCATCTCGAAGTCTGATTATCAGTTGGAGTTTATCTCTGTGCCACGTTGTGTAATTGCGTACATGTTTAGTGTATTAGGTGGCTACATACACACACACACACACACACACACACACACACACACACACACACACACACACACACACACACACACACACACACACACATACACACACACACACACACACACGCGCGCGCGCGCGCGCGCGCGCGCGCGCACGTACATACATACATATACAAACACTCCCTCACACTCACCCTCACGCACACACTCACTCACTCACAAAAGACAGACACACAAACGCATATCTTACATCCTTATCAGTATACACGTAGAACCCACACATACTCGTACACACATACAGACACAAGTGAAGTTACGAAGTTTATCAGAGACAAACATCTATAAGATTATATAGCTTTATAACTGCATGAAATTGTTTTTTGCCTGTGAATTCCAAAGTGAGTCATCTTTACTGATTATTCCGATTTCGAACTCTTTTCACTTCTTTGTTCAAATTGATTCTCTTGGTAATCTTAATGAGTATAATCGCCCTTATCAAATGACTATACACTGAATGAAAGGAAAGAAATGCTCGAAGGCATGGGCGCCAGAGCCGGTCTCGGCGCCATGCTCGCCTCCATTTCCGGTGTGACCTTTGCTCCTGCCGCAGGCTACGCGCGTCATGGAAGGCCTGCTACCGGAGGAGCAGCAGCAGCAGCAGAACAAGCGCCGGGAGCCCGACCCAGATACGGAAGAGGTCCAGGTATTATAAGTCGTTCGTACATCGGCAACAGCTGGTCTTGATCTCCTCAAGCGGTGTCAGTATTACTTCAGTCATATGAAGTATCTCTCCAGTTGCTGCACCGCAATTCTTATTTATGTATTGATATTTAGATTAACCAATATTTTGTTATTTCAACATTTTTTCGGATGAGTAAATTAAAACTGTGTAGATGCTTCTCTACATCACCATAAACTAGTTCTGACCCATCTCTACCCATCACTTAATTGTTATGTTATTAGTCATATGACAAAGCTGTAATAAGATTTTTAGTAAATAATCAAGCTCAGAGGTGAACTCTTCAATCCCCCGAAGGAAGGCAACGGGAAACCAACTTCGTACATTCCCTTCGTACATTCTGACCCATCTCTACCCATCACTTAATTGTTATGTTATTAGTCATATGACAAAGCTGTAATAAGATTTTTAGTAAATAATCAAGCTCAGAGGTGAACTCTTCAATCCCCCGAAGGAAGGCAACGGGAAACCAACTTCGTACATTCCCTTGTTCAACCATGGAATTAAACATGGTCGCCAACGTCAGACTCTGATACGGAACAGAAAAAATAAATCAGTCTCTTAGGTTGACTTTGTTTTTTCGTTTAGCCCACGCATCAGGCCTCGGTCCAGGAGCACATTCAGCGCCTCTATGTGTTTACAATGATGTGGAGCCTGGGCTGCTTCATGGAGCTGGCTGACCGTGCCAAGATGGAGCATTACATGCGCGCTAATTGCCAAGACCTTGACCTTCCACCCCATGGGGGAGCAGATGATTCCATGTTCGACTACCGCGTGGACGAGAATGGTACGCTTCCAACACGGCCTCGGCCAGCTGTACGAACCCTTAACTTGTCCAACACTCAGCTACTTTTGCTGATATGAGTGATTAACTTTTTTATTATACCTGTATATCTGTGGTTAATGAATATATGTGCGTCTTATTGCTTATACGGTTATCTATTTTATTTACACGCATTGCAAACATTTCCTCAAATTCCATCTGCTGTGGGCATGTTACTACAGGTTGGTGGCAACACTGGGGAACGCGAGTGTCAGAGTATGTATACCCAGACACAGGCACTCCGGATTACAACTCCATTCTTGTGCCAAATGTGGACAATGTACGAATGGACTTCCTCATCCATACGGTGGCGCAGCAAGGGAAGGTGAGTAGTGAACATTGAATTCGGTTTGTATTGGAACTCACTGTTTTTTTTTCTCCAGTTTTCACCCACTCGTTTTGTTTCTTATAATAAAATGTCAATATGTAGTTTTTAATCAAAATATCTGAGATCCATACTTGAGGATATTACTTCACACAAAACCAGGAGCCTCTGCCCAGAATATGTAACTTCTTCCACAGGGTGTGCTGCTGATAGGCGAGCCGGGGTCTGCCAAGACGGTCACCATTAATGCCTTCATGAAAAAGTATAACCCTGAGGATCATCTTTATCGTAACTTCAACTTCTCGTCAGCCTCCACGCCTCTTTATTTCCAGGTATGCTGCGACTTGAACAGAACCTTGATTATATGTTACCGCTACTAGGCTATTTGCTAATGATTATGAAACTGTGTGAACGTGTCGCATTATAGCACGACCATCTTTTACATTTTAGCTGCACAGAGTTTGTCACAGAACCATGTGGCATGTATTATGCTGTTGCAATACCATCGTGTGACACTAGTATACCAAATATTATAAAGTAGTATAATAATTCATCTTATTGCTCGTTAACCTCAACCAGCGCACTATCGAAAGTTACATCGACAAAAGGATGGGCAGCACATTCGGTCCTCCAGCCGGAAAAACCATGACAGTGTTCATCGATGACCTCAACATGCCGCACATCAACGACTGGGGAGATCAGGTGAGGCCAAGCTTGGACTAAAGCCACGCGGGTAAGTAATGCTACATTTCAGAAAAGGTCAATAGAAGAGGAGGAAGGGATATTATATATGACGGGTAAATGTTTTTAGCAATACATTTACATGATGTTTTATTCAGTTCAATGAATAACATGCAACGATTTCTTGATTTCAGCCAACAAATGAAATCGTGCGCCAGACTATGGAAATGGGGGGATTCTACAGCCTTGAGAAACCTGGGGACTTTATTCATGTAGTTGACATCCAGTTCCTGGCAGCCATGGGACATCCGGGTATGTGATGGGAAACTGCAGATCTGCACATAAACGTTAAATGTGGTGATCACTGTCAAAAAGTTTTTTTCGTATAAAATTATGCTATTTCCTCAGGTGGCGGTCGCAACGACATACCGGCGCGCCTGAAGCGCCATTTTTGCATTTTTAACTCCACCATCCCATCGGAGAACTCCATTGATAAGATCTTCGGAGTTATCGCCAGGGGCCACTTCAGCAG